TATATATATATATATATATATATAACTCTTCCTCACCCACCTAATTAAAGCTGAATCAAAGCAATACTCTTTCAGTCTAGGTGTGTTTAAAAACACTTATTATTTATTGAATCAGGTATGATAAGAATGATAAGAAATTATGCAAGTAAACACCTCAAGCCTTTTATGGGTCTTTTGAGAATAGGACCCTTTGAGGATGTTCCTGTTTGGATATAACAATCGAATTTTGGAAGACAACCACCCTTTTCTCTGAGGCTTCTCCTGCTGAGCGACCTCAGCGTGGTAGGATTTTCAATTTCAATGTATTATTACTTCCTCAAGTGGTACAGATTGACTTACATGTAAATGTTAATATGTAATGTTTTATTTAGTATACCTTCAACTTTATCTAAACATCCACTGAATAACTTAACAAATCAGAAATATTAAAAAAGAATTAAAAAAATTAAAAATGTTTATTGATATTTTACTGTGCTTTAAATACAGGCAAAGGTAATAACATATCATTCTTTACAGGGTTGGCCATCATGTTGCTCAGCTCAAACATCACAAGGATACAAAGCTTTATAATCCTTGGATTCCCTGGACTTTCACCTCAATACCATGGTGCTGCATCAGCAGTACTTTTTCTTGTCTATCTAGCGATTGTAGTAGGAAATATTTTTATTTTAGTTTTTGTCATCAGTGAAAAATCACTTCAAAAACCTACATACTTGATCTTTTGTCACCTTGCGTTAACTGATTTATCATTTGGCACTGTTACTCTCCCAAAGATCATATCAAAATATTGGTTCAAGGATAGCATCATCTCATTTTTCGGGTGTTTTACACAAATGTTCTTCGTTCACTATTTAGGGTCAGTGATGTCATTTCTGTTACTGGTAATGGCTGTTGACAGATTTATTGCCATATGTATTCCACTGCGGTATCCTGTTCTGATCACAAATAACAATATATTTGCTCTTTGTGGATTCGCTTGGTTTATACCTTTACCTCTAATGATCATCGTAACATTGCAAGCCCTCGGTTTACCTTACTGTCAATCAAACACAATCTTACAGTGCTACTGTGACCACATCTCGTTAACGAACCAGGCATGTGGAAATGATTTGAAAATTGTGCAGGTGATTACTCTCTGTATCGCAATGTTTTGTCTTTTGTTGCCTCTTGCATTCATCTTGATTTCCTATGTTTCTATTATTATTGTCATTTTAAAAATGTCTAATTCTGCAGGGCGCAGCAGAACTTTAGGAACTTGTACTCCACAAATATTCATAACATGTCTGTTTTATCTCCCTAGGTGCTTTGTTTATGTAGCTAATACTGTAAGGTTTTCTTTTAGTATAGATGTTCGTATTTTATTAATTTTGCTTTACAGTCTACTTCCTGCTGCAGTCAACCCATTGATATACTGCCTCAAGACTAGAGATATAAAGCGTACTTTGATGAAGAGAATAAAAACAAATAAAATTAGAGTAGAATTAAAAATCCGCAATAACTGATTCTTACAATAAAAATTTTGATGACACAACAGTGAAATGTTTTTAGCGCTAATCCTTCACAAATGATTATTTTCTTAGAATAAAAATAAGAAAAGAAATCAAACAAACTTCAATAAAAGAATATCATATTGTATGTGCACATCTTTTTTTTATTCCTAACGGTGTGGATGGTACAATAACGGAGCTTATGGGGATATTAATTTTCAAGATTTCAATTTTAAGTTGATTAAAGCATTTATGGTGGGGGAAAAAATACAGTTAGATCTTAGGCCCTTTTTGTTGTAGTAAAACCACTTTGGTGATATGGTAGGAAAGTTTGAAGATTGAAGTAATAATACCTTAAGCACACTTAAATTTAAATATGATGATGATGATGATCTTGTCCAATCTCTAAGTTTAGGTTTTGGGTGTTCATAGAATTTGTAACCTGCCACTAAAATATTCATTGTAAAGCATACCCAATAAACAAGAGGAAAGATTCTGCTAGTCCATTCAAAACATTTTTCTTTCTCTGAAAATAGTCACCCTGTCTTTTTTTCCAAATACGTTTATTTTAAATATCCCTTTCGTACAACAGTAACAACAGATATAAAAGATAAATGTAAATGTACCTTGTGCTTGATGTAGCTAGGCATCTAGAATTAAAACATTACAAAACAATCTTACTAAGTGCAACTTGATCAAAGATGATACTAAAAAAGATAAACTAATATGGACAGCTCTGCTTTCTTCCTGCTTCAGAGTAAGAAAAGATGATTGGCTCTTGGTTTGGAATTCTAATAATGTAATGCATTAAAAAAATAAAAATAAAAAATGACGCTTTTGTCACCAAACGTTTTAAATATAGTTTACTATTAATACCTAAACGTACCTTAATGTACTTGTATGGATATTTTTCTTTTCCTGGATTTCTTACCACAACAGGGTAAATATATATTCAGTTTGCAGTTTTTCATTTTATACGTATTCCTTCAGGTTGAAGATTTTATTCCATGTTTGTTTATTTCAGGTTGAGGATTTTTTTTTATTTATTTAATATTTCAGGTTAATGTTTGATTTCTTCAGTATTTATTTATTTATTTATTTATTTCAGTTTGAAGTTTTTCATTTGTTATTTATTTAATTTTTTTAAAAAATTTTTAATAATTTCAGGTTAACGTTTTTAATTTATTTATTTATCTTAGGTTGATGTTTTTCATTTATTATTTATGTCAGGTTGAAGTATTACTTAATATTTATTTCAGGTTTGTTTTTTTGTATGGGGGCCTCCAAATAACATTTTTCTTAGGGGCCCAATTTGGATGCTTCTCTGTGTGTATATTGTACAGGGGATAAAGCATAACATTAAAACAGAAAATTTCAGGTTTGAGTAAAAAAAACCAAAAACAAAGAGAAACCTAGTACTAAAATACACAATGAATTGCATGCATTACGCAACAAGCGATGTAGGTACGACAGTCATCTTTGTTTGTAAAACTGTAAACCATCCGGGAAAAGCTTCCATTAGGGAACCATGGTGTCTACATATAATGTAATAACACACAATGTGGTGAAGTTAATTCAGATAAGAGTTTGTTAGGTGTTTAAGAAAGGTGCAGTAATAGCGAGGTAGTGGATTTCATTGGAAAAGATAGTCTTACTGTGTTGCATCTAAAGATTTATTTATTCTTTTCCTTTACACAGTTGTAGTAGGTGCAATAGGGATATTGTGAAGGTTTTTATTTACTTCTTTCTATGACTAGTAGTCATTTGAAATTTGTGTTTAATATTTAATCACTGTTTCTACAACTGTTGTGATCTAAACTGATTATGTTATACACTAATGTAACAAGGATAAAAAACTTTTTCATAACTGGATTTCCTGGTCTTTTGCCAAAGTATTATGGTCCTGTTTCAGGTTTGCTTTTCCTGCTTTATTTGGCTATAGCTGGGGGAAACATTTTTGTTTTAGTGTTTGTTAAACATGAAAGGTCTCTTCACAAACCCTCATATCTCATCTTTTGCCACTTGGCACTAACTGACCTAATGTTTGGAACTGTGACTCTACCAAAGGCGATATCGTTATACTGGTTTGATGGGAAGTTGGTATCATTTTTCAGTTGTTTTGCCCAAATGTACTTTGTTCATTTCTTAGGAGCAACTCATTCTTTCATTTTGATGGTAATGGCTCTGGATCGCTTCATAGCAATTTGTTCGCCGCTGCATTACAATTCACTTTTCACAAATACAACTGTTTCTGTGCTTTGTGGAATATCATGGTTTATGCCCTTTTCGTGGATGTTTGGTGTAGTTTTAGATGCATTGAGTCTACCTTTTTGTAATTCGAATATAATAGTTCATTGCTACTGTGACCACATATCAATATTTAAACTTGGATGTGAAAATGCACATATTTCTGCAGCTCTGGGATTGGGCCTTGCAATGTTCAGTTTGCTGGTACCTCTGGGTTTTATTATTTTCTCATATTTCATTATCATTGTTTCTGTCCTGAGAATATCCTCCTCAGAAGGACGCATTAAGGCTTTGTCAACCTGCACACCTCAGGTCATCATCACCTGCCTTTTCTATTTTCCAAGGTGTTTTGTGTATTTGGCAAACTTTGTGGGATACACTTTCAGTGCCTCGGCTCGTGTAGTTATTGTGATGCTTTACAGTCATTTACCCGCAGCTGTAAACCCGATAATATACTGTTTCAAAACAAAGGACATCAAAGAAAGCTTAAAAATAAGATTTTTCACTGCAAAAAATTTTATCACCTCAAAAGTTAGTTGAATATTGATCCAAATAAGGAGAACCCAGAAGAAAGACAAACACATTTTAACAAATGTAGCTTACACAATATATAATTTTGTATATCTTAACTATGTCAAAATTGATGAGTTATATATTTTGAATATGATTTTCTCTAAAATGAAATGCATTATTGAATTACTTTGTTTTTCTTTAATCTTTTAGTGTGTGGCATTCATCAATCTAAATGTGTTATGAGTAATTTTCTTTGAAATATGTTTAAATGTGAAATTCTCTATTGTTATCAAGCAAATATGAGAATAAAAAAAAAACATTTATACCTAACTTAACAATATAGGGTAAATATATTCCTTATTACAAAAAAAAAAAA